CACCAGCAAGGGGCGAAGAGACGCCGCAGCCCGCCGCGCGAGGCCCACACCTCCACGCTGCCGCAGACTGACCCTGCTCTCCATACCATCAGGTAAGAGCCCCCTACTGCCAAGGTAGCCGGGACCCCTGGACTCCTCCAGCCTCCCTGTACCTCTCCTATGCTACCCCCGTCGTTGTCAGACCAATGTCCACAACCTGGGCTCAGCATTCCTACAGCACACCTTGCCACTGCTGTACACCAGGGGGGGGCCACCATCTGGCGCCAACTCACGTGCAGGAGGATGGTTGCCTTCCCTGATTGATGGAAGGGAACCTTGGCCCAGAATCGGATGGGGGTCCGATAGGGAAGCCCTGCATGCGCTGCAGCAGGTAATCCTGGAGTAGGTCCACACGCATCGATAGGGAAGCCCTGCATGCGCTGCAGCAGGTAATCCTGGAGTAGGTCCCAACGCATAGCAGGGTAGGCTCAGCCCTAAGGCAAACAAACATGAGCCCTGAAAACAACAAACATTACGATGTCCCTGTGTAGCCGGCGGAAACACAAAAAAACTGACTTGGGATGGAAGGAGGAGTCTATTTATTTAATGTGGTTGATGTGTTTCCTGTTGCAGGCAGGCGGAGCCTATATCTCGATGGCTGTCCTGGAAGATGACTGGGGAAATTGAGCTCTTTAGCATTAACTCAACTTTCCATGTTCGGAGGAAGAAAAAATGCTGACTATGACCCTAAGAACACCATCCCTACAGTCAAGCACAGAGGTGGAAACATTATGCTTTGGGGCTGTTTCTCCGCTAAAGGTACAGGCTGACTTTACCGCATTGAGGAGCCTATGGAGGGGGCCATGTATTGTAAAATCTTGAATGAGAACCTCCTTCCCTCAGCCAGAACACTAAAGATGGGTCTTTCAGCATGACAATGACCCAAAACATACCGCCAAGGCAACAAAGCAGTGGCTCAAGAAGAAGCACTTTAAGGACATGGAGTGGCCTATCCAGTCTCCAATTAATCCTATACAAAATCTATGGAGGGAGCTGAAACTTCGAGTTGCCAAGTGACAGCCAAGAAACCTTAAGGATTTAGAGAAGATCTGTAAAGAGTGAACCAAAATCCCTTCTGAGATGTGTGCAAACCTGGTAACCAACTACAAGAAACGTCTTACCTCTGTGCTTGCCAACAAGGGTTTCTCCAAGTACTAAGTCATGTTTTGCTTGGGGATCAAATACTTATTTTACTCACCAAACTGCAACTCAATTTATGACATTTATATCATGTGGTTTTTTTTCTGGATTTTTGGTTGACATTGTCTCGATTAAAATACACCTATGATAAACATTATAGACCTTCCATTTCTTTGTAAGTGGGCAAACTTACAAAATCTGCAAGGGATCAAATCATTAATTTTCCTCAAATGTATATATATTTGTTTCTCTAAAAACTGATTACATTTTTTTTTTCTTTTTAAACTTTACTGCTTCAGGGAAATATTAGGGGATTGAACAGTCCCCTGATATTTCCCTTTTACAATAGAAAAATAGAGGACATAGGAGTCCTCAATCTTTCTGCAGCCCCAGCACTGAATGATCAGGAACCCTCTATGCTGTACTCAGTGTTCTTGTTCATTCATAAATAGTAGATATAGTACGAGTTACTATGCACACAATTATGAATGAACAAGAAGTGATTTGGATCACTTCCCACTCATTTATATAACTGCTACAAAATAACTCATACTATGTCCTGTTATTTACAAACATTCAGCGATCACTAACAGGGTTATTCACAAAAGGGAGAAGAGTTTGGATAAGGCAGAAGAAATGAACAATCTGGGACAACATAGCTAAACTGGAAAGTGAGCTGAATTGGAGAATTTTGCCAAATCGGCTATTTTGGCTTAGATTGTTAACTTCTCCTGCCTTCTCCAAAAACTTGTTTTGCCTGATGAAGGGGTTCCTGTGTGTCCCCGAAACGTCGCACTGTGTTATTTTGCTTTTGATGTACGTCAATAAATAGATGTAATCGATTTGCTATTGGAGTGCCGGTGCCTATTTCTTTTCCGCTTTCTCTGGCCACACACCGCCACACACCGCCCCCCCCACGATCGGGTTGGTGCGGGAGGAGAGCCGAGCCTCCTGTGACAAGCTCTCTTCCCCACCCCCGACAGTTTCTCTCCTCCCTGCTGGACGCTGTGCTGTCAGAGGGGACACAGAACAGCGCCCAGCGGGGAGGAAAAACTATGGATGCACCGCAATTTCGGCAGAAAGATGGCCCTTCCAGCATTTTGCCAAAAGTTACATTTTTGGCCGATAGGTTCGGCAGCCAAAATTTCGGTGCATCCCTAGTATCCACCCACAACTGCCACATGGGCAGAAGTGTACCTCTGTGTTCTGCAATGGACCAAAACTCCCTACCAGAACCCATGGCAGTGTGGAATACAAGGGGTTATATCGGTAGGGAAAATAAATTATGGAATTCAGGAGCTGGTAGGATTTTGTAAAAATTTTTACTACCCAGCTCAACTGACAGAGAGAAGCTCTATCGTTAAGCACCCGCCATAAATTTTAGGGAGCATTAACTACCTGGCTCCAGGGAAACTGTGCAGCCTTGGGTTATAAGACTATAGATAAGGGGTGCCCAATAGGTCGACCGTGATCCACGGGTCAATATCATGTTGGATTTTGCTGCTACGTTTATCTGCTGCTGGCCGGTTACAGTTTGCTCTGTAGGTGGCGCTCTGTCCCAGCCCAGCACGACACCGGAAACTGAAGTGCACAGGGCTCTGCAAGCAGCAACTCTGGGAGAGCCTGGCCCTGGGGCCACACACATCGGACACAGGCCTGAGTTGGGTGAGTGGTGTTCTTTACCAGAGGGAGAGGGCATTGTGTACCACAGCCTAAGTTTTCTCCACTTGTACACAGCCATGCAAGACATCTTTATAGACAGCCATTTGTGTATTGCATGTGTCTGCAGAATCTTATATTGTGGTGGGCATTAGTTAGATGGATGCTGCAGGACCTACAGACTGTGCCACCACCTACAGGACCACGTCCTCCCCAACAGTTCAGTAGCTTTATCCTCACGCAGAACGATATGGCTGCCCAGCGTCATATTGCGATAGGATTATGGAGATGTAGCAGTCAGGAGTCAGATTGATTATAGCCATTTATAGAGTGCTGACAGTTTATGAGAGACGAGAAAGGCAGACAGAGAAAGAGCCAGCAATGCTGATACAGGCCAAGATAGGCAATAGTCCCAAAGTTTACCTCTCCTCTGAGAAGAGTGCTAGATATGACTAAGGGCCAGTTTACACTAGTACAGTGCATTCATCACACACACTGGTTGGAAAGACACTGTACCGCACAAACGCAACTTCTCCTGTGTTCTAGTGCAGGAGGTGCTTTGCGGTGCCATTAGTTTGTAGATCTCATTGAGGTGGTCATTTCAAAAGAACATCTTAAAAACACAAAAATTAGTGGTCACCCTTGCTATAGATTGAGAGTCATATACAGTCTGCAACCTATAGCTGCTACACCAACAAGTGAGCAGTAGAATGTTAGATTCCAAGTCTCCTAGGAGTTTTGTTTGTTAGTCTCGTTCGCATCCAGTTTTGCAAAGGGAAACAAATGCTGCAAACTGGGGCATTTCCAGATGAGCAAAGGCTCTCAACAGGACTGCCATAGAGGGCAACTGATGGTTTACAGGCAACAGTTGACCTCCATTTCATAACTTATCACCGTGCACTACATGAATTGGCTGCCCTATTCATTTACACACCAAATAAACCCACTACAGAAATCCTAAAAGGACATGAGGGTCCAGAGCTGCAAGGGTAGGAACTTGCCAGACCCAACATATACTGTAGAGTTTAGGTATAAGTGACAAGCATGAGCATACTTTTAGTTAATGACTATAAAGGATAATACATTTACAGAGGAAACATGGAATTGAGCCGCTTGCCCTATGAAAAGTTACCTTTCTTTTCCGGGTTTCAGGCGTCCCACTCCACACAAAGCACTGGTAGATTGCACGCAGATTCTGCTTCCAATTGTCCACTTTAAAGCTGTTCACATGGGAGCAGCCGGACGGACTCATGACAAACCTACATGCAATTTCTGCGGGTGGGGGTCCGAAGACGCAAGAGGCAGTATTTCGAAGAGGAGGAGGACAGGGCTGAATGCCCCGCCCTCCTCCTTTAGCAGTTTTTTCAAATTTTTCCAAGAAGTCCACAGCTAAGACATCGATGATTTAGTGTCCTGAAAAACAAACAAAAAGAAAAAAAAAAACAAAACACAAAATTAGAAAACTGAATTCAATAGACAAAAAAAATAAAAAAAATAAGACAGGTTCACAATAAAATGACAAGTCCCTTCTCCTGCTTATTTACCCCAACTTCCTTCACATCATTTGCAAACAAAGACAGATTTATAGTTTCTGAAGCGCTTTGCCACCCTGGTAGTTCTATTTTCTTGCATCATTATGGGGTCCATTTAAAAAGTAGTGTTATGGCGGTAACAGGGGAAAAAAAAGGGGGGGTGGGGGGAGACAGCGGTGTGCTTTACAAATGCTCTGCAGGCTTCAGGAGTCTGTAGTTGTAGTGCAATAGAAATTAATAAAAAAAAAAAAAAAAAAAAAAAAAAAAAGCCCGGAGAGACTACACACCATGACCTGCATTTTATAGCTAGAATCTGAAATAGGAGCCACAGTGTGCAAACCCCAGCGGAGTGTAACAGAACAGATAGCGATATCCGCTCTGGCATAAATGACCCCCTATATTTGTAGATAAGCAAAACCGCTATTTAACCGTATTTTGCGCTCTGGACCATAGGACACAGGGGTCCTGTGTTCTGTGACAGCTGAGACTGGTGGCGCTATGATTACAGCGCCACGATCTCAGTAATCACAGAGCGTACGATAATCGTGCAGTGTATGGAAGGCGTGCGACTGTTTCTACTGTATGGTCGCACGTCTTCAGTCGAACAAGCAGGCTTTAAACCCGCCGAGAATGGTACGATTAGTGGCCTGCTTGTTGGACAACTGCCGAACGGGCCGGTGTGCACACTGCCCGTTTGCAGTGATCGGAAGCCCGCCCCTCAGCGGGCCGGGCTTTCAATGATGGCAAGTACGATCTGCCTGTCCAAGATGGGCAGATCGTACAAGCTTTTAATAAGCTTACGATCGCAAGGTGTATGGGCACCTTAAGGGCTCTATGGTGAGCTCCTATGCCGTGGTCACAGTTCCCCCAGAGAAGCGGGGGGATCCTAAAAACCACGGCAGGGGCCCCGGACACGAGCGCCGCCACTCTGTCCTATGGAGCCAAACTTCTAAAATTTAGGAATGAGTACTTCATGCGACACTGAAGGCTCCCTGTCCACCAAATCAAGCAGTTCAGGAGTAATGTGCCATTCTACTAATCAAACTTATTGATGGTCCTGGACAGGAACCTATATTACATGCTGTTGATATACCACATAGAACAGGAGCAGGCAGTGAAGGCAGTGAAGAGAACCATGATGCTAAAAAGGAAAAGAATTGATCAGCTAAAGAATCAGGGGTGAGGAATTCCCATCACCCGTTTCCCGGGACATGCAGTTCCGGGCGGGTAGTTTTTTTTTTCTACATTTAGCCCTGCTTCGCCCGGATCTCTTGTAGAGCAGCCTGCTAATCCATCCCCGGCGCCCTCCTCCGTAATTCCAGCGGGGAGGGGACCTGGGACCATGGTAATAATTTCCGGAGAGAGCTTCCTGTGTCAGCTGTCACATGTGAAGCTGTACAGAAGATCCAGCACAATACTGTGCAGGATTTTCTGTACTGGAGGGCGGGCTTCATAAAAGAGCCTGCCACCTCCAATTGAGATCACATAGGGGCTTGTTCTCCCCTGTGTGATATCAATAAAGTGGAAAAAAAGAAGAAAATTAAAATTATAATAAAAGCCAACCCCACCATCTGCCTGAAAATAAACACATGCATTGGGCATTGTGTGTGTTTGCGCTGACTTGAGTGCTGCCCCCATTCCACTGAGCGCCATATTGTGAGCTGCGCTCTCTAACGTGCACAATGCACGTTAAAGGGCAAGTTCACTTTCCCAAGTAATTTGGGTAAATGTAATTACCCGCTTAAAGCTGACGAACAGAGTGAACCTACCCAACAGGGACACAAACATCACAAAAAAAACCTGACCAGGTGTTCTAGCCCCTCAACACTAATAAAAATGTTTAGCTTTAGATACACTTTAAAGTTAACCTGTCCTAGCCAAAACTAAAAAAATAAGTTTGCTGGTCAGGGGCGTAACTAGAAATCACAGGGCCCCATAGCAAAATTTTGTATGGGGCCCCGTGATTGCTAGTTATGCCACTTGCAGAGCCCACCATAGACTCTCTATGGTGGGCTCTGCAAGGTCTCAGTTGCGCTGTACGCTTCTTACCGGTCACCTCCGTGGTCGCCGCCGGGCACCTGCCTCCTCTTCCGTTCCCGGGCTCCACCTCCTATCGACGGGCCCCACCTCCTTACATCACTGGCCCCACCTGCTCTTAGATCGCTGCCCAGTGATGTGAGAGGAGGCGGGGTTGCTGTTAGGCAGGCCCCGCCTCCTTTACCGGAAATGCCGGTGATCGATCGAAAGTTCGAACTTATCGAGTTCTGGGACCGGAATTCATGCGGTCCCACAACTCGATAAGTTTGGACTATCGATAGAACACCGGTGTAACCAGCCTATTCTGCCGGCTGTCACTGACACAGCTCCGCAGCGGCTGTGAGTGGGAACGTTTTCCTTCACAGCAGCTGCTGAGCTATGTCAGTGACAGCCAGCACCCGAGACGCCATAGCGACCCACACGGCATCAGAGGGATGCCTGGCCGGGCCCCCCTGTGCACGGGCCCCATAGCGGCCGCCTGGGTCGCTATGGCGATTGTTACGCCACTGTTGCTGGTAGAGCACAGGCATGAACTCATGGTAATCTATAAACCCATTCCTTTATGCCTGGGATGTACGGGGCATGACTTCTCAGCCCATATGTGCCCAGAAACACCCCTGGCTCTAAACAGGTACTTGACTGCCAGTCCTCTCGTGGCATATGAGAAACTGAATCCCTGTATTTAGCCTAGGGCTAGAATCAAGTAACCTTCCCAGGAACAAAAACATTTTTTGCAGGTACCACAAATCCAGATTCTATACCTGTCCGCAAAACACCTGCAAGTACTTATCTTGCCAATTCTGTTAGCATAGGAGTATAGAACCTTAAAGAGGAACAAATACACCTGTAGAAAACGTTTAGTAATGACAAGCTACAAACACATACTTCTAAATAATTGCAGGCTTTGTATACCTTATTTTTCTTTTCTACCCATTCTTCTCACAGTGGCCATTTTTATACCTTACCTTTACTTCCTGGAACTCTAGCACATGTGACCATGCACATCATCTCAGGGGAGGAAAATTTCTCTCCCTGAGATGTCATGAGATTAGATTTCCCAGCAATGCTCTGCTGATTTAACCTTCCCAGGATGCAATGCCTGGGCACAAATACATATTATGCCAGAGGACCAGGAAGTAGAAAAAGAAATTGTAAGTAAAATAAAAATATGTTTAACTAATGAATGCAAGAGAATTTCATATCAGCATGCAGAGTTGTATCCTGATATGATTTATAGTGATTTAACATGTAGAAATTATCAGTTGCCTAAACATAATAGCTTATTGTTACAATTAATAAAAATTATTGTCTGAGGATCCATTAAAGTCAAAAACTTTTTTCCCTCCCCCCAATATTAAAGCACTTACCTTAAATTATGTCTCTTAATCCGATCTTCCTCTTTCCTGTCCTTTTCAGCCTTTCCTCCAGCGCTGCTGCGGGTCTGCGATGCAGCGCCAACTTCTGTCCTTGCTCGCACTTCCTGTCCCACGGTGACTGCATGCGGGTGCACGCATCCATATACTTACCTTGCGTCTCTCCTAGTCTCCCGGCCAAAAATCCGAACTACGCATGCGCCTGCCGCAAGCTGAGCATTTGCGGACGGGAGCGCGTGTCGAAAACGGGTAAATTTAAACCGCTTTTAAAAAGCATTTTTTTCCCCCAAACTTTTTGCATATATCTACTGCTTGACAGCAGTAGATGTATGCAAAAAAACGTGAGGGTTTAGAAACCTTTTAATGTGTGTGTTGTGGTAACATGTGAAACAATGCAGTTTACTGTGGTGCACAGGTTGCGTATGAGCGTTCCCAATTTTAGAAGGCACCCTAATGCACCTGAACTACAGCAGACCACAGAGCAAGAAGTGCATCACTGTGGGCTGAACAAAAATAGTGCTTGAGTGATTTCTCCTGTTGAGTGATGGATTCTGTTCAAAATAAATGGGCTAGTGTGACAATATATAATAACGCATTTTGTTTGTGTATGCGTTTTTGAAACGCAATATAGGAACAGTCTCCAATTTTGCTTCAAGTCCATGGGAAGGCAAATGTACAATATTAGGTTTACATGCAATCTCAATTTTCTTTTCTAGGGGTAACAAATATGTCCATGTAATTTTAAAATATATCTTGATAGAAGAAATAATTTCTTTATATTCTTTCTTTGCTTTACTGACATACCAAAGCCATGCAGGTATACAGGAGGCAAGTGCTTTTCATGTAATCACCTTTTAGGAGGAACAGGACATTGCTCCAATGATCTGTAAAGGCGACAACAAATTTGTCCATATCTTTAATAGACAGCGTTTCCAAAGGAACGAGTGGCGATTATTTCACACATATGCAACTGGACGTCATTTAGCTTGCTATAGATGTATCAAATAGTTGCCATCATATTTTTCAGCATGAAAAACTGGTTTAGCCAATTTTTATTTTACCCTTTTTAATTATTGAACAAAGAGATCAATGCAACAAAGATTGGATCCAGGGTTTTAATGGAAGACGACGTAATTTCAATATACTTCTAGGCAACAAGGTTTGAAACGGAGTACTTAAGCCTGTTGGTAAAAAACACAATTTTCTCTATGGTACAACGTAATACAGAGAAAAGGGAACCACCAGTGAGAAAGTCCGTATCCAGAAGGAAAATGCCTCAGGACATCATAATTGCATTATTATTTAGTGCTGGAGCAATTTATCATGGCCCACCAACACTGGCAGTAGGTTAAGACGAATGGTACCCTCAGGAGAGAAGGCAAAAGGATAACCTTCTAAAAGGAGAGTAGGCTTATCCACAAAAGGTATTACAATAAGACAATAGGATAAGGAAAAAGATATAAAAACAAGG